CCTCTTGCCCCCCTGGCCACACTCGGGCTCCTCTTCAGCTTCCCGTCGATCCCAACTCCCAGCTCCCTTCCTGCCTGGCTGCTCTCCAGCCCCTCTGGCCCAGCCTGTAGTGCTGCATTGGGGTTGTTGTGGCCAAAGGACAGGACCCGGCCCTTGCCCAAACGCGACATCTTAACGTGATTTGCTTTTCCCGCCTGGAATTGACTCCTGGATATCCCGTTCCCTGCAGCTCCCACGGCTCCACGCCTACAAAGGCTACTGCAGCAACCAGCTGGCAGCCAAGGCCCTGCTGGACCAGAAGAAGCAGGACAGGAGAGTCCAGGACTTCCTGCAGCGCTGCCTGGAGTCTCCCTTCAGCCGCAAACTGGACCTCTGGAGCTTCCTGGACATCCCCCGGAGCCGGCTGGTGAAGTACCCGCTGCTCCTCAAGGAGATCCTGCGGCACACGCCCAAGGACCATCCCGACATCCACATCCTGGAGGAGGCCGTAAGTGAGGGCGGTTCCGATGGGAACACGTTCCTTTGGAGCTCCGGGAAACTCCCTTAAACCCTCGGGGATCTCACCTGCTGTTAACTCGGGGTTTAACCGGATTTCCCTGAGGGTTTGAGTTCCAGTGTCAGGGTGGGTTTATGGCAGACACAAACCTGTGAGTCACCCTCTCCGAGAGGAAGTGAGGGATCAATCCACAGGAATTCCATCGCCTGGAGCTCTGGAGTAGCACCTACCAGGAAGAAGCCCGTGCACAGGTCACTGTTAATCATCCCTTTGCTGATTAATAAATTCATGTGCTGTTGCAGATATCCATAATCCAAGGGGTCCTCTCCGACATCAACCTGAAGAAGGGCGAGTCCGAGTGCCAGTACTACATCGACAAGCTGGAATACCTGGATGAGAAGCAGAAGGATCCAAGGATTGAAAGCAGCAAAGCTCTGCTGTGCCACGGGGAGCTGAAGAATAAAAACGGACATGTAGGTCCCTCCTGCTCCTGGGAATTCATTCTCAAGGGAATTAATTCTCAAGTTCAGACTGGGAGCCTTCACTCCTTTGGGATAGTTTAGACCTGGGGCTGAGTTTAAAAAGCAGAGGAGAAAGCCCTTGGTGGCAGCCCGGATTTTGGGGTGGGAGGGAAAGTTTCCTTGCTGGCAGCCTTGGGAAGCTGGAAAACAATGAGCACAAAAGGGAGCACAGCAAGTGCTCTCCATCCCCAGGGATTTCCTGCCCCTGTTTGCTTTCAGGTGCTCTGACACGGCCCTTCAGGAGCTCTGCTCCAAACAAAAGGCTTCCTGCAAAGGCCTCTTTGGCTTTGAGCTGAGCTCAGCCAGGAGTTTTATCTCCCACTGGACTCCAGGGATTGCTGCCTTTTGTGCTGCCTTGGTTTGAACATCAAATCTTTCCATGTTTTCTTTATTTTTTTATTTTTTTTTTTTTAGTTAATTGGAGGATTGTTTGGGTTTTTTGTATTTTTATTTAATTTGGCTGTTGCATTTCTGCACACGGGGCGCTTTTGTGCTGCCAGAGCAGATAATTGCTCCTAATCACCCTCCCCTTGGCATCTGTAAATCAGAATTCCAGGGTTGAGGATCAATAAAACAATAAAGAGCCGTTGAGGTAATTCCGCTCCGTGCCAGAACTTGGGAGAGACTCACAAACTTATCGTGGGTGAAACCACAGATAAGGCAGCCCTGGATCCCAGAGGGGGGAGGATGTTTGACCTCACGGAACACGGAGCACGAGGCTTTGCTGACATCCCAACGTGCTGCTTTTCCTCCCCCTTTTCCAGAAGCTCTACGTGTTCCTCTTCCAAGACATCCTGGTGCTGACCCGGCCGGTGACCCGCAACGAGCGCCAGGCCTTCCAGGTGTACCGGCAGCCCATCCCCGTGCAGGAGCTGCTCCTGGAGGACCTCCAGGACGGGGATGTGAAGATGGGGGGATCCTTCCGAGGAGCCTTCGGCAACTCCGACAAAGGTACGGACCAAACCGGATGGGAAGGCGCCTGTTCCGGCGCGGATCCGGGTGGTGTTTTCGGGGGGATTTTGAATCCGAAAAATCCGGAATAATGGAAACTGCCCAGAGACTCTTGATCTTTGAGCAGCAAAGGTGTTTATTGACAGCGCTGGGAGCAAGCCAGATACTGCTGGACAAACTTGCTCGACTTGAAAGTGCAAAACCGAGCCATTTTATCCACTTCAGGTACATGGTTACATCATTTATTATACATACTAATAACCAGGCCGGTCTCTGGGCAGAGTCTTTCCAGACTTGCCCAGTCTTCTGCTCTGGGGGTCTTCTCCTCAAGCCTTCACCCCTCTGGTGGTCGCCGTGGGTGTCTTCCTCAATTTGACCTCTTCAGTGAGGTGCCCTGGATTCTTCAAGCTTGCAAACTCCTGGCTCTGGGCCTTCTAGATCTTATTCAAAGCTCTAGTTGACCTGATTTATTACTCTGTGTGTGTGTACTACTCCTGTTCTTTCTATGATAAGGCCTTTGGTGCAGTGAGCAGAACAGAACATGAGATTATCCAGTGCTCCTAAAATGTTCTTCCAGCAGAACAAGTATTGGGGTTTCTTAGCAGGCCAAGATATCTCAGTTAACTCTTTCAGGCCTGGCTCCTGTTTCAGTTTCAGACACTTCCCCCAAAGCAGAGTCGCCCATGGAATCTCTAAATCCCGAGCCGGGAGCTGACGTGTTTTCCTCCCGTTTTCTCCAGCCAAGAACATCTTCCGGGTGCGATTCCAGGATTCCATCCTGGGCCATTCCCACACGCTGCAGGCCGATGGTTCTTATGTTGTCATCTCCTGTAGACATCTCGTTTTTGTTTGCAGTAATTTTAAAATGGGGGTAATCTATGTAAATAAGAGCTTTTTTTAAAAAAAAACCCCAAATAACAGAAGCCAAGAAGGTCGGGTGTGACAGGTTGTGTTCTGCCCCACTTGTTTTGTGGCTTTTACTGAGTACCCTGACCCACAAAAACGTTCCTGTTAGGGAAAATTCTCAATTTCCAGTCTTGGCATTCTCCTGATCCCTGCATTTCTCATAGGCTGTGAATTTGTGATGCAGATGGAAATTAAGTGGTACGGTCATATTTTAGCGATTTTAGCTTTGTCTAATTTTTGCACTGCTGGCAGGGCTTGATTCATAAAAGCAGCTCTCCAAGGCTTCACAGTGAAGCCTCCCTGGGTAGTTGCTGCCATCCTAATCCAAGGTAAAACTGATGCCCTGACGTGTAACAGGATGACTGACTGCCCCAATCTGAAATGACGTAGAGGACAGAAAGTTCCTTTCAATAGCAGAAGATTTTCTTAGCAGGCCGAGACATCTCAGTTAACTCTTTCAGGCCTGGCTCCTGTTTCAGTTTCAGGCACTTTCCCCCAAAGCAGAGTCGCCCATGGAATCTCTAAATCCCGAGCCGGGAGCTGACGTGTTTTCCTCCCGTTTATCTCCAGCCAAGAACATCTTCCGGGTGCGATTCCAGGATTCGGGGCCGGGCCATTCCCACACGCTGCAGGCCAACGACGTGTTCCACAAGCAGCAGTGGGTGAACTGCATCCGCGGCGCCATCGCCCCCTTCCAGAGCTCCGCGGCCCCCTCCGAGCTCCAGGAGCTGCCGGAGCTGCGCGAGGAATCCGAGGAGAACAACCCCTCCGTGCCCAACGTCCCGGCCCGCCGGCGCCGCTCCGGAATATCCGACGTGGAGCTGGACGAGGGCGCGGCCGAGCGCGGCTCCTCCGTCCTGGACTCGGGGGAATCCAGAGGAGGGGGGAAAGCACCCAGAGCCTCGGCCGGGCTGAGGAGATCCAGGGAGAAGCAGCTCAGTGGGAAGCGGAAAGAAACGCTGGTGTAGGGAGAAGAGGAGCCCCGGAGCGGGTCCCTTCCCTCCTTCCCGGAGGGAAAACTGTTTATTTATAAATAACGCCGTGTACATTTGTGGAATCGGGGCAGATCCCGGGGTTTTGTTGGAATGGCAGCTACTTGGTGTTCGCTCCCCCGTTGAACTCTGGGGGCTGGTTTTTACACAGGGAAAAACCCTCAGGCAAATCCCAAAGTTGGGCTCTCCTCCTGAAGGATTTCCTGAAGGGGGGAGAACCTTTCAGAGCGGAGTCACTTTGTGTGGGGGGGGGGTGGTTGTGGCAACCCACGCAGATTTCCATGGAAAAACCAAAAAAAAAAAAACCCAAACCCAGCCCCCAGGTCCAACAGGTTCTCCATTTACCTACTGGAATCTTTTCACCTTCCCTTTGTACATTCCTCGTTTCCGCTCTTGGATCCTGCCAACTATTTAATTTTTTTTTTTTCAGTAGGTTTTTTTTGTTGTTGTTGTTGTGTCAAGTTTGGGAGTTGGGATTTTTTTCGGTCGTTTTTGTTTTCTTTGGGGTTTTTTCCCCCCCTTTTTTTTTTCTTTTTTAACTTTTGTATTTTGTTTGTCCAGACTTGGCATTTTTTTTTTCCTTCCCAGTTACTCGATCCTTCGTGCTCCGGAAGGGAGGGATGTGGGGTGTGTGTGTATCCACAGCATTCCCCATGGAACGAGCAATCCAGAGGCTGGGAGGAGACCCTGCTGAGGGAGGAGGAAGGGAGTTCCTCCGGGGTGTAGGAAGGTTGTAGGGACGTTGTAGAGGGTTTTGGGAGGGGGAGAGGAGCAGTAGAGGGGAGTAGCAGCGAGCGGAGGTAGATTTTGTGTTACCGTTGCCTTTTGGGAATGAAACCCCTTCCCGTGGGAATGAAACCCCTTCCCGGGGGAAGGCAGGACTGGAGGGGCAACCAAGGGGATTCCTGCACGTGGTAGAAAGGTAGAGAAGAGGAAGAGTTTGAGGTGTAGGGAGAGGAGAGGGAATGTTGTAAATACTCCGACTGCCAGAGAGCCAGGCGGGGGATCCGGCCCGGAAATCCCTGGAATTGCGTTGCCTGTGCCGTGTGTGGCCGTTGGGAGAGGGGAGGAGGGTGCACATGGACATCTCTGTAAATGTCTTGTACAGTTCCAGTGCCAAGAACATTAAATTCCTGATGCCTCTCTCTCTCTCTCCTGTCACTGCCGGGAGGGATCCGGGATGGGGCGGGATAACACGGAGCTCCACCGGGATCCTGGGTCCTCCTGCCGTGCTTCCAGTGGACAGGAGGGCAGGAGTTCACAGTTTAGGGAGGAAAAATGGAGCAGTGGGATTCTCCTCACTTCCCTTAAACACTCTGCCTATGGAAAAGTCCCCGTTTAGCAAATATCTAGGAATCCCGTTCTCCAGGAATCTTGGGAAGGGGGATCCCACTGGGCCAGCTCAGGGCACCTTCCAGGGGACATCTGGTTATAGCACCAGGACAGATCTCTCCAGTCTCCACAGCCCTTCCCAGAAACCCGTGGCCTCACCATGTGTCGGGAATGTCTGGGCACAGCTGCAACTCCCGGGAAGAGCTGCCCTGGGATCCGCAGGGAAGGAGCAGCTCAGGTTTTAGGGACGGGTTTTACAGCTGAGCTTTGTCCTGTTTCGATCCAGAGGGGACTCAGCCCTTCCCAAGCAGGGAAGGGGCTGCTGGGTGGGAAATTTGGGAATTGGGAGAGGCTGAGCTGGAGGGCGATCCCACAGTGGCTGCAGGGGCATCCAGGGGCTGCTGGGGGAGAAATTTGGGATTTGGGGGCTTGCTTCAGCCACTGTTTCCAGCGGGGTTCCCAAAGCCAAGGGAGAGCTGTGGAGTCTCTGGTTTTCCAGAAGGTGGTTTTCCAGCTTCTCCTGCAAAAATAAAAGGCAGTAGTTATGCTGGGACTCAGGGCTTGATCCCAAGGGGGAGGAAATCCTGGATCCTGCTGGGTCTCCGGGCTCAGCCTTCGTCTCATCCCTCAGCCAACAGCAAATTAGCCAAGAACTTCCCTTCCCTTTGGAAGTGAGGCCCCCTCTCCCCCCCCACCGACTCCCGGTGGTTCCCATCCCTAAGGAATGCGCAGACACCGCAGCCGGCCCTGGCTGGGCCAGACTAAACAGGCCGGGCTTTCCTGGTTTCCTCCCAGCCCGAATTCCAGGGGGTCCCGGCCGGGCCTCTCCCCGTCTGTGCTGCTGAACCTTCATCCCATGGATGGGGACACCCTGGGACACAGCGGGGAGGATTCCCGAGGGCAGGGCGGGATTCCAAAGGCAGGGTGGGGAGCTGGGCCGGCCCCAATCCCGAGGAGCCCCTCCAGCCTGGCCCCATGGAACGGGAAGGTGTCCATGGCCAGGGATGTGTGTGGGCAACTCCACCCCAGAGCAGCTCCCTCTGGATCCACCCGGCTCCGGAGCCACGTGTGGAGTGGAGCCAAGGCCTCCATGGATAACAGGTGAGACCTTCCTGGAGTCGGGATCAGGGGCACAGTGGGGCTCATCCCTCTATCCCAACAACTCCCCAGCACCCCAATCCCAAACTCCTCCTCCACGGACATATCTCTGCCAGGCCCAAACATGGGATCAGCGTTCCTTGGCTTGGGCTGGAAAAGCCTGGATTTAGGATCTGCCCTGGAGACTCCAAAGCTCCCCCTTGGCTTTGGGAACCCCGCTGGAAACAGTGGCTAAAGCCCCCGAATCCCAAATTTCCCACCCAGCAGCCCCTGGATGCCCCTGCAGCCACTGTGGGATCACCCCCCAGCTCAGCCTCTCCCAAATCCCAAATTTCTCCCTCAGCAGCCCTTGGATGTCCCTGCAGCCACTGTGGGATCACCCTCCGGCTCAGCCTACCCCAAATTTCTCCCCCAGCAGCCCTTGCAGTTGCTGTGGGATCACACTCCGGCTCAGCCTCTCCCAAATCCCAAATTTCCCACCTAGCAGCCCCTGGGTGCCCCTGCAGCTGCTGTGGGATCACCCTTTGGCTCAGCCTCTCCCAAATCCCAAATTTCCCCCCCAGCAGCCCTTGGATGTCCCTGCAGCCACTGTGGGATCACCCTCCGGCTCAGCCTACCCCAAATTTCTCCCCCAGCAGCCCTTGCAGTTGCTGTGGGATCACACTCCGGCTCAGCCTCTCCCAAATCCCAAATTTCCCACCTAGCAGCCCCTGGGTGCCCCTGCAGCCGCTGTGGCATCACCCTCCGGCTCAGCCCCTCCCAAATCCCAAATTTCCCACCCTGCAGCCACTGTGGGATCACACTCCAGCTCAGCCTCTCCCCAATCCCACTTCCCACATTAAACCTCCGTGGAGTTCACGCCGGGTTTTGTGGAGGTTCCTCCCCATCCCCACTCGGGCTCCTGTGGGGCCCCTCGGAGGTTTCCCCGTTGGAGCCTTTCCCTCTCCTCCTCCAACTTTCCCTTTTTCCATGAATCCATCATCCTCCCCCACACCCCCTCCCGCTGCTCCGTCTGCAGACCCAGACCCAGACGTCTCCACACATCTGGATTATCCAGCTGGGAGCTTTCAACCCTCTGGATCGGGGGGGAGTTTTTCCACCATTCCCTGGATCAGACCCCTCAATTCCAGACGCCAGGGGCGGGACGAGCGGCGTCACCTGGAAAACTCCGTGTGAGGTTTTGAACGGCGGCCGCTTCCAGCCTCCCTCCTTCCCTCCGGCTCCAGCTGGAGAAATCCCAGGAAAAGCAGCTGCCAGAACCCCCGGCAGCCGGAGGCTCCCGCTCCCGCCTCCCACCAGGGTGGTCTCTGCCTCCCCATCCCACCCCACGGGATAAATAGGACTGGGACATGAACCGAGGGGTTTGTGAGCCGGAGGGAAGTTTATTGGGATAATGATCCTGCCGGGATAAGGAGGGGCAGCGGAGCACAAACTCAAGGGCTGGCCTGGACCAGCTCCCAGGGATTGATGGGAATGTGGGAGGTGATGGGTGCTGGGCATGGGATGGGATGGAATTGGTGCTGGGAATGGGATAGGGTGGGATGAGTGCTGCTCATGGAATGGGATGGGAGCTGGTGCTGGGATGGGATGGGTACTGGGAATGGGGAATGGGATGGGATG